ACCGCCTGAATAACCGTGTTTGTAGAAAAATCCCATTGAAAGTCGAGACTGAATTCAACAAGAGGATGAATAATGCTGTTTGGGTTAGAGGAGACTTGATGAAAGTGCTTCCTTTGATTTGTTTGAGTTCTTTGTTTGTGAGTGAGTGTGCTGGTTCTAGCTCTTCTGCACCACACAAGCTAGAATATGTCATAAGAAAATACGGCCTCATGTTGAGGACGTGAGGGGAGAAGTATCCCCTTTTCTCTCAACATCTTGCAGCCATGACAGTTTTCTTAATTTCTGACATCTAAAATGGGAGTGGCTAAATTATTCTTGGTCTCTGGTACATTTTGTATTTTTCTGTTATAGTCCAGTGGACACTGTAGGCAGTGAAAAAAATTCATATTCTGATGATATATGTGGATCAATGTCGTAATAGTTATTGCAATATTTAATTTAGTTTCAAACCAAATATATTTTATACTTAAATGTGACTGTAGACTCAATAGCTACAGACTTTATTAGAGTACCCTATATTATACAACCTTTAAGACACTGATTTATAAGGGAGTTGCCCTCCTGCCAATGAAGGACAGTCAGTCCTTTACCACAGATATGGCATGGTGCACCCAGCAGCTTCCTGCGCCCTTGACGCATTCAGTATCTGACTCTTTCCACCTTGCGTCTCCTCCCTGCCCCACTGAAACACACTTTCTTAGATCAGCATGTGCCTTCCATGACTACAAGTGCAGGATGAGAAGCAAAAAACATTTTAAATTGTACAGCGCTCACTTTGTCGCAGTCATTTAAAAAAACCCAATGCAGCCTCTACAGAGCAACTGCGCAGCACCCTTACATCACTTCACCCCAATGACGACTGAGCGGCACCGGTAATTCACTGCTCTGCATTGCGGTACTCCTGTGCCGGTCCACTTCTGCACTACAGCGCTGAACACACTCCGGTTTATCCTCACTCAACTCCAGACACAAGAGCCACTTAGGTCATGCACACACTCGCATGTGGTGTGGTTCTTACCTTTGAGGCAGAAAAGGGGGGATTTCAGTACACTGTCCGCATGGCACACCTGGACCCGAACCGCATCATCCCACAGCCCACCCGCCGGAGCGTCCCGTTCAGCGCAACTTTTCTATTGGAGGACAGCAGCGGAGTGACACCTCTGTGTGGCAACGAGGATGCGGCTGCGATTGGTCCACGAGAAAGGGAGGATGGAAGGGATGTGAGCATCATGGTGCTACGCATCCCAGACAAGTGAAATAAAACCTCTGCGGAAACTAAAGTTGAGCTTTTTAATAAACTGAGAACAGGAATTCTTTTAAGATGAATGGATTACTTTCGTAGCCTACCTATTATTTGATTTACCAGCAAGTGTAAGAAATGCAATGAGTCTATGTACCTGGACACACGCAATAGGTTTTAATGGGAATATTCAGGCGCATTAATATAGGCTTTAGTTAGGCCGTAGGAAAATTTAGGAAAGGTGCATAGACTCTATTGTCCATATCTTGCTCCCCTACATGTGCTCTGAATCCTAAATGACCTTCATATCAATTAATAATTAATGATTCCAGACACCAGCTGCGTGACTATATGTGATATGAATTTATCCTCTACAATGAGACTCTTTGGAAAAAGATAGCTGCATGATGGTTATAAATAGTCCACCTTTGTGTTTAGACAATATACACATTAGCATTACCTACATAAATTTATTATTTATCTTAGATTTTTTCAATACTTTAAATCTCTTTTCTAATCTAATCTATCTAATCTAAGTTTAGAATTTTCAGATTGACGTTTTAATCTGCAGTTAGATTTTGTGATTGGCTGTCCTCTTGGAAAGAAAACATAGAAACCATACCGTAGAGCTCTTTCAAGAAGAATAAAAGACAGGCCCACTGCGCATGCACTAACACGGCAAACGCATGTTAATCTTTAATGGATTAACTTTTGGGGGTTTATCTCTCTCCATGGCAAAAAAACAAACAAAAAAAACAATTCCCATTTTCATACACTGGGTGGAGCTACTCACACACACACTTTAGTATGTTGCACTGCATGCATGACCACAAAGAAAAAAAAAACATGACTTTTGAAATCCTGAAACCAACATTTATTTCATTTTTTTAAACTTCATTTAAAATACAAAATATTTTGCAATATTATATTGTAGAGTAAACCATTTTGACAGCCTTTCATGCTTCTCGTGTAGCTTCAACATTAACCAGAATGTCATATTATATCATATCATATACTGTATATCCTACTGTATGTTCACCAGTCACTAGTACATTGTTTCCAGGGTTTTCACACTCCGATGTGCCAGTCAGCTTATCTGTTCCATGCCGGCCATCCTTCTGTATGCTCCAAATTACAGTTTTGTTTGTTTTTTTAGATGCACACTCTTAAAAAGGATGCATTAGTGTCACCTGATGTCTAGTTTAGGGCAACAGTTTTCCAGTGTGCCGTGTTCAGACACCAGATGTTGTTGTTGTAAACTAGACACACAGATGTGTGAGTGATACCTCTTGTTGAAGTGTGTACCTTTTTTATAAAAAAAATACAGAAAAAAAAGATGCATGAACTGTCAGAGACAGAAACAATACAGGTGTCACAAGAGCTCAGTCACAAGTTAAATAATCTCCTTTGATACCTGATAGGCTAAACATTTGAGCTAGCAAATCCACCTGGCAAGTTAAAAAAAAGAAAATATGAAAGAAATTAAAGAAATTTCACAGCAAATGAACGAGTGAAAACTGTAAATAGTCTCATCTCACACAACGCCCTCCTACCCATAATGCAGCAGGGTCAATTGAGGTCAAAGCTCTCACCTCTGACCTCAACACATCTACGCTCAATTCAAGCCATTATTTACAAAATACAACAAAAATATCTACACGGGAAAGCTGACACATCGCAAACCTAAAAACTTGATGCAAGTTATGATAAACCTAAGACGTGGAAATGTTCTCTGGAAAAAAAAAAAAGTCTTGTATCTCCTGTTGAGAGCAGACTGCAGGACACACATCAGAATTAGACGGTTATCCATGGAAATTGAAAGCGATAGTATACATCACGCACGCTGTAACACAGTAGCATGCATGTGCTGCACATACACACGCGCACACACATACACACACTCATGCACCCAAACATTCACACACAAGCTTCATTCATTTACAGGAATATAAAACTCACTGAGTGCTGCGCTCAAAACGTGACAACATACACAGATATAAGGTTAAATGCATAAACCAAAGTCACCAGTGTGTTTTACCATTTGCAGTGAAACAAGCAATTATTTTCATTCACATAAACATACACTTGTTTCCACATTCAGTATTCATTATGCAAGTTTCCGACCCCTTCATTTCTAAGTGCTACCAGTAACAGTTAGTCCCATTCTGATAATAGCCAGATGGTGAGTCTGGTTCCTGTTGGCAGTTACCTGGTGAGTAGGTTGGCAGTAGTTAAGTGCTGCTGGGCAGCAGCTCCTCCTCAAGATGAATGTGTTAGGAGGACAATGTCTGAAATGAACACATGACGACATCTCACAAGGCGTCCATGCTCTGAAGTTTCCTACTCGTTTTAAAATACCACACATTTCTTCAGTCTTTACTTCTTAGCCAGATGGTGTGGACTGGTCTGTTACACGGGCTGATGAAAACCGGGTGTATGATTGTCGACAAGGCCATAATAGCTGAAAATTATCCCTTATGACTAATGCCAGCGTACGACTTAAAAAGGTCATTTTTGAATCAATTTCTAGAATTTCCTGTTGAAAACTATTGAAAGACTCAACGAGGCCATTTAAAGTTAATGTTTCACAATCCTCAATGACCACATAGCTCACAATAAAGGGTCTTATTGTCAATTAACAAAATTCTTCAACATCAGCGGAACCCCTTAGAGCTTATTTTTTGTTTAATGTACTCTTGAATACTCGCATAGCCTTTAAAGTTGTCGTTAGATTAAGATGGGATATTATTCTGTATGTACTGTATTGATGGACTATATAAACTGCACTGAGCCCAGGTGTGTCCTGTATATGATGAGGGTAATTGTAATGTAATTCTATGGATGTAAGTCACTGTTCTCTACAAAGGCACTAGAAACCGTGCTGAGAGGTTCTTGATCATCGACATCTAAATATCCAGAAACTACAGTGTCTACTGTCAGTAAACCTCTACATGTAACATCTTATTCTCTCTGTTCTGCCATCAAACACAGCAGATCGGTGGAAATGCTATTGAAAACAAGGTCGGGACAGGGGTTAGTTCAGCCAATACCATAACCTAAAAACAAATATCGGCACAGTGGCCACGATTTGGGGAGGAAACACTTGACGACGACACTGGATCACACCTCCACTTGTGTTTAGTTAGTGCTCAGTAACAAGAAGCATAGGCTTGGTGTAAAAGGAACAGATCGGAGAAAGAAAAGCAAGAAAAAAAATGCAAGCAAAGAACAAGTTTGAGAAAACACGAGGCTAGAAACGGGCCGATTGGAATAGGATGTGGGAGTTCTGGCTGGCTGGCAGGTGTGATAAGGAGTGACCAAACGCTGAGTTCAAAGTGGTTCTAGCCAGGTTTTCCAGTCACTACAAAGGGGCATCCCTGACCTCGAAATATAGCTTTCTTCTTATTCTATTACATATGTACAAACAGTTCATCTGTCTCAAAAAGACATATGCTAGCTTCTACTTTGAGTCACACATTTCACAGCAGTGTCCATAAAGACACTGCTGCCATTTTTTCTATATATCATACGCCACTGAACACTTTGACTGAAAAACAAACAAAACAAAAAAAAAACACAATAAAAGAGGCATAATCCAGTCACTAGTAGGCGTGCACCATATACAGTCTCACACAGCTCACCTCTGCAACAACTGACACGAGGATGGTAAAATGCTTAATAGAATCATGATTTACTCCATGCAGGTGTTCATGAGTGTGATTCAATGCATATTTGCCTGCCTGCGGGTTGTGTACTGTACTTTGATAAAATATATATTTGGATACATCATGTTTAGTATGTTTGCAAAGGAGATCAAATGCCACTAACACACACACACACACACGCACGCACGCACGCACGCACACGCACACACACGTGGCCACTTCTGCTCAGTCTGAGTGGTACAACTCTTCTGGTACATTCCTTCTGCTTTTCTATATTGCTTCCTCTCTCCTTCTCAGAGTCCTTGCATCCCTCGTTTCACACCTTCTTTCAATGCTCGATGGGGCGCGGCGGGGTTCGGTCATTTGCCATGTTGAGTGTGTGTTGATCAGAGGAGGTCACAGTGTGACAGGGGCTGGCGGGTGTGGAGATGAGGGCGTTATCAGCAGTCTTGGTGACAGGCAGCCATGGGGATGGCCACCGAAGTGACAGCCACCATGGTGAGAGTAGGTGTCCACGACGACTGTCACCTTAGCAAGTGTCACCGCAGAGACAGTCCCCATGGTCACATTTGCCAGGGTGACAAGGCGTGGGCCATAGCAACCATCGCAGCCAGGCCGCGGCCCCTTTGTTAGACAAACGAGTTCATGGCGTTGACGGGCGATGGGGCCTCAGAACTCTCGTTGCCTTCGTGCGTGTCTTTCTCTTTCTTGCCGCTGTACTGGCCGATGAAGGAGCCGTCCTCATTGAACTGTCCGTCCCCGCCCTCCCCGTAGTCCACCAGGCTGTCGTCGCTCTCGTCACGGCGCACCGTCCCATTGGACGGCGTCCGACTGCCCTTCAGCGGCTTGTGGTCCTCTGTGTCACTATAACAGGGTAGGGAAAGGTTGGAAGGAAGGTTATTGAGAAAACAATTTAGGCAGTTTATTGAACTTTTTCTGCAGTGGTCAGAAACCATGGTGCCACAGAGGACAGGCTATTATCCAAGCATTAGCATTTTACATGAGTAGTCTGGCTTTTCCACCATACAAAGGCCACATATAATAAACACATATATTGCTGTTGTGTTTTGTACACAGTTTGGGCTCAAGTGTAGCACAAATGTTCTTGTAGGGCCCCTGTGCCATAGGCCAACAGGTACACAACTGCTTACTAAAGTGTTATTATAATGCACAACGGCCAAACAATGGAATGTCTAAAACATAGCTATAGCATTGTATAGTATTATCTATAGTGTTAGTGCTGTTTTAAGCCTGGGTGCAGTTTTAGGGTTAGTGACCACTGCTAAAGGGGATTTTGCAAATGCGTGCTGTTCAGTCTCTTGCAATACCTTTATGTACAATATTTGGAATAAAATCAACCAATATGCTTTCAGTTTACATGCAATAATCAAAAATGCACCCCCCCCCCCCAAAGATACCGGTTACCATCTGTCAGTATGTTCATTTGGTCTAAAAACCGTCCAATTCCTGTTAATACTATGCAAGCTCTACAATCTCATACATTTCGACTCCATTTTCAAGCTCAATGCATTTGCATCTTAAAAATTAAATGAAGCTATAGAAATAGAAGCAGTACTTTTAAATGTTAAATTTTAGTGTTAATGTCATGACTGTGGTTATGGTTTTGACTATGCCAGTGAGAATGATGACATAGTAAAACCAGATCAGTTGATGTGCTTTCTCCTTGCTTTTAGTTGCACCAAAGTCAGAAACATTGCTTGCATGCATGGCGTTTTTATGCCACATCTCGTCTTACCTCTCCATAGACCTAAACTCGCAAAAAAACAACAAAGATAAGAATGGAAGGACATATGAAAAGCAATTCATGAGCCACAATGAGTGTCTTTTATGCACTTTAGACACAGACATGACAAAGCATGCATATGGAAACATTTAAAGCACAATGATATCCATATTAAGTTATTACATAGTTCATTCAAAGCAACTACTTTATACCAACTTGTAGGCCTCCAAAATCCTGAGTAGCCTTCTAGATTTTATAGAATTCTAGATATTCCTACAAAAATGTGGAAATGTGATGGAAAACTGTCAAATGTGATGGAATTTGTTTTACAATCTTTTTGAGAACAGTTACAAAGTGACTTAGCCAGAGATTAGATTACTTGTTATGCATTATATAAAGCTGTTGATTAGATGGCCAGTGTGCAGGTGAGTTGGTCATTATAAGAATCAACAGTAGTGCAGATCTTTTCCTTGCCTCTATGGAGTGTTTGGTAATGAAGTCTGGTGGGGAGAGTGTCTCTGCAGCCTGGTAAAATGTTCTACATACAAACAGGCAAGTCAGGACACAATGAATGAAAAAAGAAATCTTACACACACTAATGTATGGTGTGGTCCTATCTTAGCCTTTACTGTCTGTTCTCTCACCTGTACTCTCCAAACGTCCCATCATCCTCCTTCATGGGCTGGATCTCGGGGTCTTGGTGAGCATCTTCTTTCTCTTTCACTGAAGATTACACAGTTTATTTCCTCAATATTTCATCCACACATGTCAATACACTTAAAATTACAGTGAAAATGTGCACATTACCAGGGTATTTGCCACCCTTGTTCCTCTTGATGAAGCACACTATGAGTAGGACCAAGATGAGAAGAGCAATGGCACACATCAGTCCAATAAACCATCCCTGGGTGGCAATGTCAACCTGCCGGCTGGGTACAGCTGAACACACAGATAGTGAGGAAAGATGAGACAAATTGTAAGCAATAGCTGTCAAGTCAAATCTCAATCCAAGTTGCTAAAAAAAGAGTGTAGTCTGTTTTCTTCATGCTGAGCAACACTGAGATTGAAAGATGCTGTAAACACAAATGACATTTTAAAATGGGTTAATATGAAATGATGAGCCGCTGTAAACATGACAAAAACAAACAAAAGCCACAACAGTAAAATAATGGACCTCTTAGTAATGGTTTTAATTGACATGCATTAGACCAACTTGATGGCGACATGCTGGTACACTAACTAGCAAACTAACTACCGTACATTCACATCTGAATGTAGCATCGTATGTCTGATAATGAGTAAGTGCTTAAACAGAGAGGGGATGAGAAAATGACACGGGCAAAATTAAACAACACAAAGACCATCTATCCTGAGGCATGCCGCCTCACCTGGCACCGCAACCAACACTTCCCCAGTGCTGTGGACAGTCGGGTCGGCCGGGTCTCTAGCTACCACGCGCACTCTATAGGACGTCCCCGGCTTTAAACCTTTTATCATATGCCAGTGTGAACCGTTAACCAACTCCTTTTTCCAGTCCTCTTTACCTAGAATTGGTGTAGTGGATGGAGAGGAATTAGATTCAGGGACCTATTTTCAGGGACAGTATTTATGATCAGACTGATTCAATTACAGAAAGCCAATCACTGCATGCACTGTTTTAAGATGACTGCAAATACAAAGTGAAGCCTTACTGTTTTCTACAATATATTCCACATATACATTCTTATGGTGTCCAAAGTAATCCCAACTGATCACTGCACCGTCCTCCGACACAGATGTGTTAACTGTGCCAAACGCAGGGCCTATAGGTGCCACTGAGCACACAAGAGAGAAAAAAAATAAAAATCAAGGGCTTTAATTCAAAAGTCACCTTCCCAACTCCTTAAAATACCTTAATATGAAATAACCTTTGAAATAATGATAGGCAGCTTAAGTACAGGAGTAAAAATAACATTCTAAAGAAATAATCATACAATATTCCAGTCTTCAGGATAAAGCTGGTGCCTACAAATCTACTACATTCAGGTAACATCTGGCTGTTTCTGTCCCACTTAGTATGTTAGTTTTAGAAAAATGTCCCACTATACAATACATGGCAACACTGCTTTTGTAATGTAAAAGAATAGTGTCAGAGTAGTGAATAAAATCCTGCCACCACATAGAAACAGGTTGGTTATATAGTTGCTAAAAATGGTCATCTCAGTGAGGACTTTATTAGTCTTTTAAAAGAAATCAAACGAGTCAGTTAGGTGAGAGAAAAATAGACATCTACTTTACTGAACTTTTAAAAAGTTGATTAAAGCCAATAATTAAACTATTATTTGAAAAGAACCAACTCCTTTGCTGAGATTGACCATTTTTTGCAAGGCAGAGCAATATGTGCAGATATTTGGGATAGAAGGGGGACACAGGGAGTGCACTTGTACCCTTGTGAAACGGGGGAGGCGGAGACTGAGTGATGGGGGAGGTTGGGTGAGGGGGCTCTGTGGGGCCTGAAAGAACATGGAAAAAGTGAGACAACACATATACACACCACAATAGTCGCCATACAGTAAAAACTGCATAGCCTCCGTTTTACAGAGAAAGTTGCATGCCGAGTAAAAACACGTTGCAACACCTCTCAATCCTGAGATTCTGAGTTAAGTTCAGAGTCAATAAATTGACCAACTCTGAATCACAGCACTACGGCACACAGTATTTAAATAAAATTCTAGTTACGTACATACACAATCCATAAGTTTATCAGTAGCTATATATAAACTGTGTTAGTACTGGACTGAAACATACGCATTCACAAGCATCATGCTCGAGGCTTCAAATGAAAATATGTTCATTTGAAGAAAGCAAATACAAGGATGTAAATACTGCAAGCACAGCTAATTTACGAAACCAGATATTTTAAACTATGTTGCAATAAGAGTAACCTATTCTCTCAAAACAGGACACAAGCATGGTTGCTTGCAGATGCCATGGAAGTCTGTCACACTTAAACCCTATTTATTTACACAGGAAGTTTTCAGACATGCTAACTTAGTAACATGCAGGGACAATTATACAAAAGGCAACATCTAAGCTAAGCTCTTTTTCTGTTTCTAATATCTGATGGTAAGGATAACATGCAGGTGCTTCCAGTGGCAAACTTGGGTTACCTTTGCCCGCCTCTACAGTGGGCTGAGTACGCACTTCAGAAAGAAGAAAAAAAGAGAAAGAGATAGAGGGGGTGTAAGGTGTGGAATGCAGTAGGAGCTCATGGTTGTACTTTTAAACTCACAGGAATCCCCAATATCTTTCAGGTCACTGGGATTCTGACCCTTGCCCTCCACATTCTGTTGGCTTAAATGCCACCGATATAGGACTTTGACCTTTTCTTCCTATTGTCCATGTAATTTGCTACAGATGAAGCTAAATGGCTACCGTTTAAATAACTCACTTGTGTCCATGGCTGTGAAGGACTCCTCTGTGATGGTGGGGCCAGAGCCCTTGATTGTCTTTGCATTTAAAGTAAACCTGTAGAGCATGCTGGAATTCAGGTTGTCCAAGGTAAAGGTGGTCTCATTGGCTAGGAAGTTCTTGACCTTAACTGGTCCCAGTTCATTGGTGTTGTTGACTGCAGTGATACAGAGAAAGGGTGAATAAGTTAAAAGAAGAAAAGGCTGATGTTAGAAATGTACAATCCATTGCACAATACTGCATAATACTGCATAGAACACAACAGGCAGTGTGTCAGGCAGCTGGTAAGTCTACCTGGTTGGTATTTCAGTATGTATCCAGCAAGACGTCCATTGTTTTTCATTGGTGGGCCCCATTCAAGAGTGAGAGAGTCCAAACCAGGGTTTATGACATTCAGAAAAGCAGGAGGCCCTGGGACTGAAAACAAAAACCCACAACCACAGTCAGGATCAGAACGTTGCACAGAACCCATTCAAGGGACGTTTATATATAGTATATTATTTTTATTCAAATTTCTAAATGCTTTGGGAATATTGTCAATGATGCATTCATGCACTCACTGTATTTTTGTAATTCTATATATTTTATTAGCATAAGATAGTGGCTATGGAGCAGAACACGGACTGTATGAGCGTTAGGCCATTTTGTTGCTAGGGTGTTCCATAAGGTTTCAAGGGTGGAACATGATGGGTTGCAAGGGCGTAGCTATAAGTTTGTTGGGTTGTTTTCATGGATGCTCTGGGTTGTTGCTGGGATAGATTGGGGGTTGTTATGGTGAATTTGATAGTAGTCGTAACAGCAGATGTAGTATTCGTAGTAAGTATCAACAAATAGAGGCTGATGTAGTGCAATCAAATTCAAAGTGATGACCTAATTAATATTTGAAAGTACTTTTCCCAAGAATTTTCCAAAGACTTCCAAAACTAAGCCGGGGGGTTATTCTGGCAGAAGAATTACATGAAAAGTGACATGGTGACCTTTAACAGAAAATCATCCATTGTCTATATGCATGATGCTGGGGCCAGTAGAACTACCATGTCAGCCAACGTTAGCTATACACACCTCCCTCAGGTGTCTCGAACCTCTTGCTGGGGCTAGGAGGCCCTTCTCCTTTGTTATTAAGGACCCTGATGGAGAGGTTGTAGAGACTGTAAGGCTCGAGGCCTGGCAGACGTCCCTCACTACGATTCCCACTAAATGTCAAAACCTGCTCCTGCTGCTCCGTCTCCACTTCTGTCTCATGCAAGCCGCGCTCGCGGCGGTAGTATACCTGGAGGAAAGACACCAGAAGTTAATACTTACATTAGTCTGATGTGCACAATAAATCTGTTTTTCTCTCATCACCATGGTGAGGGTACCATGCACACATGCAGATAGGCTTATGATGAAAAGCTTGGCTTGAGAGAGCCTTTCAAACAGAACCTGTTTCATAATGTCAACCTACACAGTGTGATTAGATTAATTCAAGCTTGTAAAAAAAGACAAGACAACATGTAAAATAAAAGACGAAAATGAATGTACATGACATCCAACATGCCATTAAACAAATTTGAATGAACAAATAAGACATTTTACAGCAAGAGACTAAGATTTTTTTAAAGTTATCTTGCTACTTGTACAAGTCATATTGTGGCGGTACTGATTTCCCAAGTCTCAACTCAAAGAAAAGGAGCCTAAGAATTAGGTCCCAACAGCAAAATGAAAAAAAAAAACACTTGGACTTTATTTAACAGTGAAATAATGCCTCTCCAATAAAAGGTAAAAAATAAAATAATGGGCAGCTGGTTTAATAAAAACAAAACCATAAACAAATAAACCTACAGGCAGCAGGTAATTGAGTGGCAAGGAACTCTTGCAAATTAGACCAGACTGTGCTGCTATAGGCACTAACAACACAACATTCTCTCTGGGTTTAGTAACAATTCTAACACTTTAAGGCAACAAGAGAGACAGCAAAGAAATCTCAGGGGGTCCTAAAAAACAGAGTTTTGGGCTGACTATGTATCAAAGTGTGAGTGCTGCTCTGAATGCAGAAAGGGTCAGAATGCCCCTGGGTGAGCAGTTCCACATCTCTTATGCCTTCAGGAATGGGCGTCGTCGTCACATCCGGATTGGCCGAGAGGGGAACCACCAAGCTGCTCTCCATGAATGAATGAATGAATGAGGGACTGCTACAACATAATAGTGTCCACATGGTGGAAACACTTTAATCAACATTCAAGTTGGTGGACTTCAATACATGGATTTCTGGGGGTCTGTTTCATTTCTTAAATGTCATTTACATGACTTATATGATGAAAGCAAATGGTTGAAGTGCCTCTTTGACTATGAAGCTATAACCACGGATCAAACTTATTAGCTTTTTCAGTGCATTTAGAAGCACATTATGAAGTAATAGTGTACAGATATTTAAGAGTTATAAAGGCTTGAGCTGTACATTTTAAGTAGGCAATAACTTGCATACTGCAAGTATGTAAAGTGATACATTTGATACATTCTGCCATTTCTCTCTGATTTCTGTCTTCACAGTACGGCAGTAAACGCTAGTCATTTATGAAAGAATACCTTGTATCCCTGTAGTTTCCCTCTGACAGAGGGTAAAGATACTGGCTCCCAGTGTACTTCTGCAAGTGTGCTGTTGTGAACCATGATCTGCACACTATCAGGAGCAGATGAAGGCACTGCAGAGCAATGAGAGAGAGAAAAACAGTTAAAATATAGTGTCAAGTCACCACAGTAATGGAGTACTACATTTGTCTTCCAAAAGAAATTATGACAACGACTTTTGTCATGATGTCAAGTTTATGAAAAGTGTGTTAAAATAATCAAATTCAGTGGTCAAAAGTGGTAATTGTGAACTTTCAATCACTCCCCTGAGAAGTGGCATGGCAAGTGGCCTTTATGTCGACTGACTCTCAAAAATATTTTAATATTCACAATGAATCTGTGAAGCTGTGACCAATGATGGCTAAATAAATGCTGTAAAACTTTTTGAACCCTAAAAAGTAAAAGATAATCAGTTCACTCACAGTCCTCTCCTGAGTATCCAATCACTGCTCCAGGCTCTGGCCCATAGCCATAATCATTCAAAGCTTGAACCTTGATCTCATAGGGCACATAGGTTGGAGTTCCAGACACAACAATCTGGGAAACGTTGGCCACAGTCCTTTCAATCCAATCCTCATCTGAGTCTTTCTGTCTCCACTGTACTTTGTACTGCAGACTGGGCCCATTAGACTGAAATCCTGTCAGTGGCTGTACAGAGAATATTTATTTTTTCAGATGCTGAAAAACGACACATATTAAAAATATATACATACATATAGTGGTGAAATGTTTGCCAAGCCTTTAATTACACTGCATTAACTAGAGTTAAGTTTACATTCAGCAAGTTATTTCTGATGTAACAAAATTATAGCTTACTGTCCAGGAGATAACTAAGTTGCCAGGCTCTATTCCTACTCCTTGAACATCTGATGGATTTTCATCAGGAGCTGGGAAAACCAAAAAATGACGGTTCAATCATGCATGTCTTTTTTTAACATTTTACATATTGTAAAAGGTTTTTTTTCTGGAGGTTTTTATTACCTGCAGGGTTTGTTCTGTATTGGCTCGAGGGCAGGCTAGGGTCGCTGTAGCCAACATGATTCTTGGCTAGGACTCTGAAGGAGTAGTAGACGTATGGAGAGAGGTTTAACTGTGCGGTAGTGCCAGTACCATCAACCTCTGTCAGGTTGATCCAAACTCCTGGCTGGTGGAGCAGATCCTCATATTGAATCAGAAACTCTGGGGAAGAAAAAAAAAAACATTCACAGAGTTTTGTGAATGTTTTTGTCGAAAGCAGCCACTGTGTCAAAGGAACAGGACAGAAAAACATTTCTTTCTGATGATGATTTCTAATAGGTTAAGTAAAGTGTGTATATTTAGCCATGATAATTCATTGCTCATCATGCCAACTATCAAGTTCTTGTTTTGTTTATTTCCCCCAAACCACATTTGCTAATTTAAGAAACCTAAACTATATCTGTATCTGAATTAACAACATTTAAAGGTTGAAATTCATTGACTATAGTGTCTAAGTTCAAGTGTGGCAGTGGAAAAGTGTAGTATAGTGTAGTTCAATAAACTTGCTGCCAAACAACTAAAGCAGCAACATTATAACATTTCATACTCTCGGTGGGACTGTTGTGTTCATCTCCAGGGATCCAGGTGAGCTGAACGCTCCTCTCTGTCTGGTCAGTCAGTTCCAGGTCAGTTGGAGGGTCAGGTTTCTCTGCAAACGCAACAAGCAGACCAGGACCACAGAACAATGAAAACTCTCTCTGCTATTGATTACAGCTAGTCCTTGCTACTAGTTAGACTGAAAAGTTGACTCTGATGCATACCGTAGCTTTAGATCTAATTAAGGTCAAAAATGTGTAATTGAACAGTTTTCTGATGAAAATGCCCATGGAACACAAATAAACTAACAAAGAGTTGAAAGTGCTTTGAAACTACTGTGGACAAACATATCACTGCCGAATGTTCAATTAACATTATTTCTTCGTATTTAGTTATTTGTCAAGAATACCTTGTTTCTTATGGTCGTATTAAAAAAGTGTAACATTATTTCATGCAATTAAACATGTTAAAACCATGCACACCCACACAGGTGTTTTCCCTTCTGACTGATTAGACCTCTGCAATCAATTACAGTCTGCACATGCCCACAAAGACCTGAGAAGAGATTTAATCAGGCAGGGTAAGTGAAAACATCTGTGTGGGTGAAGCATAGGTACACAGATGCTGTGCATTTCACAATGAAATAAAACTTTTAAAATTGTAAAATGCATACCTCATGTTACATAAAAATAAATTCATATCAAATTGTACAATATGAAATAAAGCAAAAAACAATCAACATAAAATTAAATAAAAATACGGTGAAATGGATGCTGCCGGTTTTACAAAAAGGACTGAAGGAGGCTACAAAATCCTAATCTATGGACATCGTTTACCGTAGACAATAGCTGGAGTAGGTGTAGCCTCTGAGACAGCGAGAAGCAAAAGTAAAGTACAAGAAGAGATAGATGTTAGTGACAGATATTAGAAACACATTTACACAATACCGTGTAATGTGACACTAAATTAGATTAGAACTCACACTCACTGTTGCTGAAGTTTGATAAAGATTTTTTTCAAATCAATAAAACAACGTCCGACATCTGACATCCTGCTGAGTGCAGACACTTGAATGCATGTTCAACTGTGAACGTACCTACGACAGTCAGCATGGCACTGGCTGAGTCCTGGTCCAAGGTGGTGTTCATGATGCAGGTGTAGGTGCCCTCATCTCCATCTGTCACGTCTTTGATGATCAGACTTTCCATGTCCACCACAAACCTGATAACAGAGTATCACAGAGTGATAATGCATTTTTCCTTTCTCTGAGCTTGCATAGAAGTGTTAAAATGAATTAATCTCTGAGTCTCAAGGTCATTGTACCTCTCATCATCGGGCAGCTCTCCATTGTCTTTGAGCCAAGTCATGGTGGGAATGAGGGATGGGTCGTGTTTGACTTTACACTCGAATGCGGCACTCATTCCTCTCTGCACCACCTTGTACTCTGGCTGTTTCAGGATACGGGTGGGCTCTGGAAGATGGAGACAATAAGTTAATAGTAAAAAATAATACAGCTTGATGGCCGCATGACCTAATGGCTATTGAGGTCTAAAATATCATCTCTTTATGAGCTATAGTAGTATTTTTGACAGGCTAAAAGTTAAACCACCAGTCTCACTATATTAGTATAGTTGTGACTGGTCCATATCTGACCTTTAACCTCCAGGTAGACATGATTCTCTTTGATCCCCAGGTTGTTGGTGGCAATGCAGGTGTACTTTCCACTGTTCAGAGGCTGGGCCACATGGATCTCCAATGTACCATTCTCATGGATCACATAAGGGTCACCATTCTTAACGCTGGTCTGACTGTCTTTGAACCTACATTGAAACAGAAAACATGGGTTTAGTATTTAATGGTGTTGTGCAGCAAAATCCATAAGGAAATGGCTAAAAAGTATTTTTTTCAACAAGGTTTTTAAATGTAATTATTCCAAATAAAAGTCACAGAAAACCTCAATCTTACCATGTGATGGTTGGTATTGGTGAGCCAAAGGAGGCGCAGTGAAGTAATGCAGGATTGTTGGTGATGACCTGGTATACTCGGTTGGGTGGAGTGAGCACCCTTGGAGGCTCAGCTAAGGGAAGAATCACAATATTATCTAAATCAGCACTCACACACTGGCCTGTATATCCAAATTTTCCAATTAAATTTTGTTTACAGTTGCAGCAAAACAGATTAAGTGTAACTCACCGAGAACATTGACAAAAGCATTTGCCAGCAGGTACCCAAATTCATTGGATGCATTACACTGGTAGACAGCACTGGAGCCTGACTTCACGTTGCTAAGAATCACAGTGTCGCCATCCACCTTCCGACCAGGGTCCTCCGGTGCATCTATTATAAGACGAGAGACAGGATATATTGTATACCTATCGTTTTTCCGACACAAGTTCTCCATCTTTGCATTTTATTTTTGTGTTTGTAGAGATCAGCAGATATGTGTGAAACTATAACATACTATAAAGTGGAAAAAAATACTGCTTGGTCAATTCTCACTACAATTCTGCTGCTGTAGTATATTCTGTTTTTGCAAGCACAGTCTCATTTTACTTACTCTCTATAGGGACTCCATTGACAAACCAGGTGATCTTCGGTTTGGGTTCTCCATTGACTCGACAAGTGAGGATGCCAGTCTCATTCGGGGCGAGGATCAGGTTCCTGGGAGCGCTGACCCAGAAAGGAGCCGCTGTGGATGATAAACAGAAATAAAGAAGACAGAGTTAGATTTTTCAGAGAATTACTTTACTAAGCCATTTGATACATAATGTTTAGGGATGCAGAAATATTTGCATCCATTCTGAATGTAAAATTAAAACATGTCAGTTAAAGGTGACTCAATTCTGAATTCAATTATATTTATATCAACATTGAATCTAATCACTCCTGTGACTCCCTACAATTAGTTTACTTTCCAATTCCAAAACTACAGGCTACAACCCAATTCTGATGTAACAATATAATTAAATTACAGTGCATCATTAGAGTGAAACAAGAAAATAAGCAGGTTAAACTGTATACCTTTGACAGTGACCTTGATGACGTGGTGTGCAGTGCCAAGTTTGTTTGTGGCTGCACAGCGGTAGTCCCCTGCATCAGCTTCATTCACATCCGAAATCTTGAGTGTTTTCTGAAAGTTTTGAAAGGACGTCCTACTGCCCGTCAGCTCTCCTCCATCTTTCTGCCAGGAGATCTCTGGAGTGGGCCTGTCATAGTGGCAATTACAACAAGATGTTTCTTTTTGTGCTATTTCTGCATTGTGTTTTCTGTGCCATCAAATACTTGTTTAATGAATACCCTGACAGTTTCTTATTAAGAACATTCTTGTATAATACAACTTCCATGTAGATTATAGATACAAGTTACAGCAGATGTCTACTTACAAGCCCTCAGCAATGCATTCCAGCTCCAGAATCTCCCCTCTCAGAACCATCTTGTTGCTGGTGGTGCCCAGAGGCATCATGAAACCGGGGCGATGCTCCCCCTCTGGGCTGTCTGAACACAAGAGGGCATACGATCAAATCAGACCCAGAGACATTAGATTTGAAGGTTTCTCTTACCACAATGTTACCCCCCAAATGAGTTAGGTGACACCATGAGTTTAGAGGGCCAATTATATTCTCATGGAGTAGGTGGTAGAAAGAGTCACATTGTGATTTGGCATGAAGTCCATTAAAGGGATAGTGAATGAGTGATGATTTAATACAATGTAACAGCAGTTTTCTTCTTAAAACCTCATCATATACGAGCAGAATCTCAGAATCAGAGAGCAAGAGGAAGTGGAGGAGTAGATGTCAGTTCGTTGCTATGGCAACACAGGGGTTCTTGGCAAAAAGCCACCCCACAGCTTTACACATCCCTCAAGTTTTTAATGGAAGCATCTAGACTTCTTTGAACAAGGTCAGCAATGCCATGTTAGAATAATAATGTGTTGTATCATGCTTCATATGGGGTCATAGTGGATAATCACTGAGGGTGCGCTTGATTGCGCAGATCATGACATCAGTCTGAATTGCATATGCATATTTATGATTCCAGGAGAGATGCTGACATTTAATGTTGTGCATGCTCAGTCTTAAACCATCTTAGGCTTTATGGTATTAGCATACAAAGACAATCATGGTTATTGATATTTTGCCATGTAATAAGTATCATGCATTATAGTCAGGTCATTTTTATTTATATTGACAAAAATCCCTCTCTATCCTTAGACCCTCAAGTTGCATAAGTAAATACGCCACAAAAAGACTGACAAGATAATAATGTTGAGTTTGTTAATAAAGTCACCAAGGAAGGGACTGAGGCAACAATTAAAGGTTTTATGTTGGGTATGGTTAGGTCAGGGAGTAAAAACAGGGCTGGGTTTACACGGAGGGGGCTGAATGGGAATAAACCAGCAGCACTCACCACTATAGAAATCAGTGATATTGTATAAAGCAGCCACAGTCTCATTCATTGTTTCCACTGTAATATAACAGAAAAGCATAAGCATGCAAAACTAGGAAAGAAAACCGGAAATGCTTTACTTTACAATGGCTTTTTTTCCCAGTGTATCAACCAATGCATTAGCTTGTGGAAAATGCATTGTGAGTACAGAATAATATCGTGTTGCTGCAAAAACTCACACATACTGACACATTATCGGAATAACAGTTACATGATTGTGACACTGAGATATGGCCATTGTAAAATCAAATGTTGCTAGAAGCCCTTTAAGCTCAGAAAAGGTAGAATACAGGAAGAACGGCAAAAAAATCATCAAGGCTAAGACAGATTTGCATAAGCAGCATATGGTGTTTAAACAGGAGCAACACAAGATCTCATTGATCATACAATGTAGTGAAAACATCTAGAAATGCAAGAAAGAAAATTAAAAGTGACTGTAAAAGGGGAGAAAATCATGGTTTAACCAGATACAATTTAAATCCTGGAAGATCATTGATTGTCCTGACTTACTGTCCAGCACGGTGACTGAGATAGGCTGTTTCTGCTGGATGGTTTGAGTGTGAGGGAAGCGGGCATAACAGATGTAGTCAGGCCTGCTGTCTTCTGGGAGAACATTTGAAAAGTACAAGTCCCCATTCAGAGCCTGGGACACTCGTTTATCCAGCGGTAACCTCTGGAAATCTGAAGGACAGGGAGAAAAACATGTCAACATCAGTAAATGGTTTCTGGGGGTCCATCAGGACTATATTCCATCAATTATCTCCTTCTGTGTTTGTCTGGCATTGCTCTTTTGAATGTGAAATGCTTATGTCCTTGTACAATGTGTGCAGATGTGTATATATGCAAATGACTCACTGTTATCCATCCAGAAGATGACAGGAGGGGGCAGCCCTGCAGGGGGTCGGCACTGCAGCACTAGGGAGACCCCCATCTGCACCACGATGGCCTCATTTCTCTCCTTCGACCACAAGGGGGACCCTGCGAGTCACATAAACATCAAACAAAGGTACTGCAGGCTTCCATAGCTGCACAGCCATATGGTTGATTGAGCATTTTGAGGATGCTGGAAACTAGGAATCGATTATTTTGTTTGAAGAGTTAAATTCCAACATTAAGTCCAACATTAAGTATAAAACATAACTTATACTGTAGTTGAGGCTAAAGTCTTTAGAATCTTTTGGGAAAAAACAACATAAATAATGTAATTGAAGTCTTACTGGACTGTCTGATGACAATACTGTTTGCTACAGCTGTGCCGTGCTCGTTGTGTGCTGTGCACTGGTATGTTCCTTCATAAGCCTCAGCCTTTTCCCCGCTGATGTCAATGACCAGAGTTCCTGAACCGGGCTTCATCAGGACTTTGGGGTCTTTTTCTACATCAAAGTGGGTCCCGTTTCTTGTCCATGAAAAGCTAGAATCAATGACAAAAACAATTATCACTGTATTGTAAAACACACAGCATATTCAAATAATCAAGATGCATTGTGGTCCGTTCATGCTGACTGATTTGAATCACATGATTTCATTGTGGGGAGTTTGGCAGGTTCTAAATAATTTGACTCAGAGGCTGGTGGCAAATCTAAACTGTGTATAATTCACTCTGTCAGGTGTGTTTCTCAAGTGGTCTCCATGACAACAGTTGCTATGGTGATTCATATTTCCACACCACTCCAGGTTAAGCTGCCCTCAGAAACAGATGTATGATTTCACATAGAGAACCATAAAGCTAAATGTAAATGAGTACCTTACCTTACCTAGACCACGTCATTATTTCATGATTTTTTGTCCTTCAAACTTTTTGTCTGTTGCACATGTTCTGATAAACAAGCATCGATGTGGTTGGAGGAGCGATCGCCTCACCTGGGATGAGGCTTCCCCTTGGCCTCACAGTGGATGACAATGTTCTCCCGCGGATCAAAGATGTAATCCTTTGGGGACTGTAGCGTTATAGTGGGGGGTTGGGGTACTGGAGAAACATGAATAGAAGCAAAGGTTCAGATACATATAATGACATGTAAACATAGCACCCTGGGACTTATAGAATCAAGGATATGCAAGCAACATGCAGCAAGCATTCAGTTAAACTTGACAATCAAGTGTAACACCATCTGGAGCTGCAAAACAAAGGGACAACAAGTATCTAATCTCATAAGAACTTACAGTTCCATGAACTGGCAGTAAACCAAGCGCCACTCCAAAACAAGCAAGTCACTTCACACAGTAACAGCGTTGAGATAACTGCATGCACATCTAACATTGCTAGAATCCACACAAAAGCAAGTCTCAATAAATTTTAACAGCAAAAACTCAACACTAGAAGTCACAGCAGTGTTTGTGGCAACTTACATCCTTCCAGTACTTTAGCTTTTTGTCCACCATGACACGCCGTACCACAGTGATAGAATATTGAGGAAAGGTGTTAGTTTTTGCAAAGGAGTAAACCACAGGTTCAGGTGAAATAGTCGCACGTTCAAGTACTTTTAAGCATCATATTGAGCCTGCTTATGATTTTAGCTTGACTTCTATGGCTTAAGACTAACCAAGCAGGTACAATCAATGCAAGAAAAGTAGTTGAAGACATAATTTCACACAGGATGTGTGATATATAGAAATTGAATTGCATTTCATAACTGAAAACCATTAAATTAATTCCATGCCGAAACATGCAAAGCTGAAACACAAGAAACCAGTAAATGCTGCTCAATCTGCAGCTACTCTAAAGCCCCTTTAGTGGCCCATAGAGGCTGTAATGTTCTTCATTATGTTCCACAATATGAAATAACTTCCATTATAGTTTTCCATTGAGCATGAAGTGCTGATGCAAGCAGAACAGTTGGTTAAAACGTTTTCTAAATGTACTATTTTGGCAATCTGTGATATTGATGAAGACAATACTTACGATCAAGAGGCACTTCCAGCGCTGAGGTCATGTGACTCATGAGTATGAGTAGCACAGCTCCAAAGCCCGGCACCCACTTCCTCTTCCTGTCCATGGTTGGGTGTGTCACGATGAAAACCTTCTGTCGAAATTCAACGACACAGTCAGGGTGGTCAGCAGAGTGACAAAGTGGGGATCCACACTACAAAAAAGAAAAAAGAACTGATTAGTACAATAAAATATACAATTTTAATGGATTTATAGAGACTGCAGTATGAAAAGGGTCTCAGAGTTAAAAGTGCACATGCATTATGAAAGTATCTGCTCCAATAGACATCTAGCCTACATATACAAAGATAAGTCTTAAAATAGTGTAATGTATATAAGATTAATCCATAAAAATGACATACTATTAGTACATAAAAAAGATATACTGTATCTACTATTTAGTCTGAGCCACAATGGAAGGTTTGTTGCTTTTTTCTCTGAAGTTTACTGACATTCTTAAAGCACAACACCCAAACTAGGGTGTATAAGCCAGAGATCACAAGTGTCTTGTCCATTGGATAGCCTGTCATCCTGCCAACGTAAAAGACTTTGGCAGGAGGAAACGTCAAAACAAACTTGATTTCAGTCATTGTAACTTAAACAACTTAAGATTCCTGCACTTGCCAGTCGTATGTACTATGCCTTCTCTGGTAGTCAAGATTCCATCAACAGACACAGTGGATTAATATAAGCAGTTAACATATATAAGATAGTATATGACAGCGTAGAATGTCTTATTGTCTAGAAGACACAGACACACATTTTTAGGCAGTCTTTGTGGAGATATTAGGAGCAAGCTGTGTCCACATTGCATTGTTCTCAAGACAAGAGAGCCACTGATTAATAGAACATCCAACGTGCACCGCTGAGATATACCACGTGTTTGCCTGTAAACATATGGCATGTGAGTGCACTCGGCCAGAACAATCACAGAGCTCTGCTGCAGATATAGCTGCAAAGTAGATTGGCACATGCATGCACAAACGCACCACATTAGTGAAAGCATCCTTGTCAGTGTGTCATATAGTTCAAGTTACACATGAGTGCAGACCCTAAAGCGTTAGCTAGCTTCTGTTGCGTAGTTTGTAACAAAGAGACACAGATTGATACGTACAGGCGTCACAAACACACAGAAACATGGGCATTAATGGGCTCTGGTAAGCTGCACCATGGGGAGCTGGAAATTATGTGTGTGTGTGTGTTTGTTTTTCCCTTTTATGTCCTCAGTCTTGCGGAGTGTGAGTATCTGTCACATGTGCATTAGCCGGTATTAATTTACTGCACCAATGGCATCAAGATGCACCTGTGCATATATTGTTTGATAATTATATATAATTGTCTCTGTCTTCCATACAACATAGGTCTACATTTTAGCTTGCATGTGATTTCAGCTCCACTATTATAAATATTCAGTTCTATTCCAGAAGATGCTTCAATCAACAAGCACATTTTTTGTTAATAAAAACAGACCTAAAAACAGACTTTAATTCTCAGCATTAGACTAAATGATTTGTTCTGCCATTTTTTTCCATTGCATGAGCAGGCTGGATCAAAGTAGCCGAAGGGTGACAATAACTCCTCCAGCAGGCTAAGATGGATTTCGATGGAGCAGTGCTGCTGCTGTCAGGTAAATGGCTCAGTCCATCCTGACATCTTCATTATTCATGACTAGTACATGCATTTGCACATATATTGTAGACACACAGACACACGTGGATTCAAGGCACAGCCTGCACACACATGTGCAGGGGGGATTGAAGTCTTCAGAGCCATCTGAAGGTGAAACTATCAAGCTCACTGTTAGAGTCAGACCTGTTACATCTCTACTCGGCTGGAGAGGAAGCATGTCTGATGACATAGGGCGAATATGGTAATGAACACTCACACAGAAAGTAGTGTGTCATATTTTATCCAGCTAAGCTATGCAGTGTGTGTGTGCTAATACAACCCCAGGACACAGCTAATTACGCTGACACGTCCTATTGGATATCACTCTCACTAGTTAATCGAGAGGCAAGACAACAGAGAGAGAGAGACAGCAACACAATGAAATGCACTTATTGCATTAAATGCAGGCCATGCATGCTAAATCTTCTAATCTCATTGTGGAAAAGGCAATGCCATATCATGCAAATGTAATAACCCATTTTCAGATTAATTATAATAATGCTCCATGCTGCTGCAGCAGAAATGGCCTCCCCCACAGCCATATTAAGCGGTGCTGGACCTCAGGCCATTTTCTCCCAGAGAGACACCTGGTATGGCTGCTTATAAGTGGGACTTTGTATAGAAGGTAATAAGTGACCAAAAAGGGAAAGGGGAATGGATGATACAAATAGACAGCACAGAAGAACGGGAGGAAAGGAAAAGAGAAATTCTATAGCCCAAGGGAGGAATGTGATAGGGCATGTGTTCAAAATTAAATGCAGCATCAAATTCTTTACTGATCTTCTCCTTATTCCTTCGTAATCCAATTCTGGATTTGAGGCCTGTACCAGTATTTTAGAATACTAACAATATGATGTCAGCCAAAAGTTTCTTTTTAACATTTTGTCGTATTAATGTTACATTTGATATACAGCTGCACAATAAATTTTATTATGAGAAACCTGTATATAATATAAGAGTAAGATTTGAACAAAAATAAAATATAGCAGAAATATATATCAAACCTGAACTGAGAAAAAATAAAGTCAAATATACTTAATAAATAAAATAAAGAAATAAAACCCTGCAGTTTTGCTTGACATCCCTGCAACATATTTGCAGAAATGGATACATATGATAAAGATGCTGTCATGAAAGAAAGTAGTTTCTACATGAAACTGTTCACAACGAGGTCTGTGGATTATCTTGAACACTCACAATTTTTTAGGTCATGATTTCTGGACAAAGACATTGCTGATGACTTTTTCAAATGTCTTTTGTTGCTTTCAGCACCACGAGCCAAGTGCCATTTATTTCAGACACCAAAATTCAGCAACTCACACCAAAACAGTCTAAATGGATAAATAGCACTACAGGTAAGAGAGAAAAGCAAAAGATAGACATTTTGGGGTATAAACCTATTCTAACTTCCGTTTTTGTATGGATTAAACAGACAAGATTGAACATGGTAATTAGTGAGCTTTAAAGGTGCTGTGTCAAATGTGGTGGAAGTTTGACCGAAAAAGGAAAACCAAACAAAGAGAATTTGTCTTTGTGTATTTATTCAAGCTTCTGCGCAGAAGGATCAACACCAACAAGTGGACGGTCAGCGTCAGGCGAGGAGTCCGATGAAGAGTGCCTTATTACCAGTGATTTTATATATGCATGAAGAACAAGAAAGGATGGATCATAAAGCATAAGAGGGTGAACGTCAAAAGAAAATAGGGGAGGTATTCTTGAGTGAAAACATCTTCCTGTCCCAAATCAACTAAGGCCCACTCCTGTCTTAGACGACCTTGGGCAAATGTTTTTATGTTCAGGCCAAGTTGTAAATTTGTCTTACATTACATCGAGGTGGTTATTGTATTCATTAGTTCATGTACAGTTTATCAAACATGTGTAGGCTGAGCAATATTTCACCCCATCATGTATCACATAAAGCATAAGCAGTCATTGTAACAAAAACAGCAAGTTCATTTGCAGTGCAGCGGAAAACAGCCTTCTAAACAGAGGCAGTGTCATGACAAAGGAAACTTTATAAATGATAATTTTTCCTCTACATCAAACTTCAAATGTCAAACAACCTTTAACACAAACAAGCTCTATATTCTATATAAAGTAATAAAAAATAAAGTAAAAATCTCCCCCAACATTGAAATATAATATAACTCTTTGTGTTGTCATCTGTTTTTCTCCTGTGTGTCTGTTTTTATGTCTGACCTGGGTCATATCTCCAGAGAGAGATGCCCGGGGGTAAATAAAAAAAAAATCAGCAGACAACACAAATGACCCTCGAGCACAGACACAAACAGAAAACAGACACATACATAAAATTAGCTGCCATGTGCAAATGTCAACATCTCCATATTTCAACAGCTAGAATGTCACAGAGTGTTAACTGGCATAAATTGCTCAGACATTCACGTTGGAAATTCCCTTACAGCCTTTGATTTGGATGATCATGCACCATAAAGCTGAACTTTTGGCCTTTTTAAGCGAAGAGAATGAACATACTTTCATACCTGTGTGTGTAGCACAGTCAGCATGTCTCTGAAGCCTGTTGAGTGAATTCTTCATAATTAAAGGCTTTACCACGAGGCTGTACTGTGCTGTGTGGTGGAAGATATTTGTCGAGGGGCAATATTATCAAATAAGAGGGTCTCTCGGAACACAATTAAACACATATAAAGCCTAACATTCATCCTGGAGCTAAGTGGGTACTCATTGCTCATTTTCTCACAGGCCACGGACAAAAAAAACAAAGATGATGATGACAAAGAGGACTCAGAGGAGGATGAGCAGGATGACTCTGGCTAGTGGGCAGGTCATCTTTCATCTGCCTCATTCCTCTCTTCTCTGACTCAGGGGTCAAAGCCCAGAGGTCAAAGAGTCCGTCTCTGCCTTTCCATCTTGATCAGTCTATTTATTTCACTTCCTGTCTTCCTTCCTCCATTTCACTGTGTTCTGCCATCCGTCATTATACAAAGCTCATGAGCGCAGAGTAGACTGATTATCAAACTGAAATGGCTAATTTAGGTCGCAATGTTATATTTTGAGCATTTACAGTAGCTGACACTCATCTTCTAGAGACTATAGAGTACACAAGTGAACAGGAAGGTGTTCAGAGGACATTTTAATGGATGATAATGGCAGACATCCACTACCCCTATCCTACCTATCCTTACACATTCTATGCATTTGAAAATTATTGCATCCTGTTTTGTCACAGCTTAACGGAATAATGTGACATTTTGGAAAAAGCTTACTTGCTGGTGAGATGATTGATACCTTCTCTATACTGCAACTCTATTCTTTTGGTTTTGGTTCTTTGGTAATATGCTGACTTGCTGGAGAGTTCATCTAATAACAGTTTAAAACAAATATTTGTGTTGAGTTCAGTGTCTTTGACAGTGTCTTTGACACTGAACTATTATTTGCACTCAGTGAAATTCCCCGGAATGAAAGCAGATATCTTCAGTGTAGTGTGAAGGTTATTGTGAG